AAATTTATCCCATAAATTTTTTAAAACAGAAAAAAAAAAAAAAGAAAAAAATCAAATTTTAACATCGTGTGTGATAAAATGATGAGAAAATACTTAATATAATTTCGTGTTTAAAGGGAAGTGTAAGTTGTTTAAATCAAAGGGAAACAAATGTTCATTTTTTTTAAAGTTCTCAAAACGTAGACTAAAAGCTGTGCTCCTGTATATACAAATGGCATGTATCCTGTACGTCAAATTTCTAAATGGCGTGCTCTTTCTTATTACGGCCGATGTCCATGCAGACACACACAGAAAAAATGATGGCGATGACCTGAAGTAGGATGAGAATCAGAAATAGGTATCGTTAGGTTTGAAATTCAGACTTTTTTTTTTTTAAGACGCACTTGGATAAGATAATCGAATAGTTAATATAACTTTATTTAAGCAGATAAATTGTTCATATTTAAAAAAAAAAAATCAACCATTTTCAAAAGCATTTTATTAGATTTAAAAATAATAAATAAAAATGCGTTAGGGTTCTGTGTTTAGCTGGAATACTTCGCCTGACAAATAGACTAACCAAGAAAATAAATATCGAATAAACTAAACATCCTTCCCTTAAATAACTAATTGAAGAAAGACGATATTGTAAAAGTTTAAAAAATTTTGGATGATAAATCCCACCCTTTTTATCACAGATACCTAAGATCAACTCGATCAGGGTTAACTCCTCTCTTAAAGTTAGGACCGAGAGATATAAACATTGTTTTGTTCCACAGTCTGTACAGATTTTCCAGCGCGCTTCCCCAGCGGTTACCAAATATGAGTGATTATTAATTATGTCAATATTGTCACTAAAGGAATTCATTCATGGATGATTTCTATGCTAGAGAAACACTTCATATATATACCGTGTGTTTAAATTGTTATAATTGTAAAATGTTGTCTTTGTTTAATAATATATATATATATGTGCTGAAAATTAATGTGTACAATGTCATTAAAAAAAAACAACATTTCCATTCATTTGGATCAATAAGGAATCTTATTTTATGATATAAATATTATGGCTTGAGGCTTGGTGTCTTGAATAGTATGAAAAATATCAATAAAAGAGACGCACTGATACCCCTCCCCCCCCCCCAACCAACCCTGGTCAAATAGAAATACTGTTGTCTGCTGTCTGCTGCCTGGGCTGGATTGTTAAACACCAGCAGCAGCAATGAACAAGTCATGCAACACTTGCCAAGATGATCCAAGGAACCAAGTCTAGCTTTTTGCAACACTTGCCACGATGATCCAAAGAACCAAGTCTAGCTTTTTGCAACACTTACCATAATGATCCAATGAACCAATTATAACTTTTTGCAACACTTACCATGATGATGAGAACTGCCAGAGCGATGCCTGCTATGGCTACTATGTGCTCCATGATCTTGTCTTCTACAGCGTCAATGCATCCCTTGACAAGACATAATAGTAAAATAGTTATGGTGATACAGAAATAATGACAGGAGTTAGGAGTTGGTGGGGTGGGATGGTTCATATCTCACCCCCCCTTCCCCCCCTTCCCCCTGTAAACCTGTCTTAGAGCTTCAAAGGTGACAGCAAGTTGTCCGTTTCTTAAAGGAAAAAAACCTGACTATTTGGTTCGGTCCTCACTCAGTTTCCACCTGATGTGAATAGTTTATCTTGTAAAATTGCATAATCACGCAAGGTTATTCTTAACCAAAGTGATAACCGAAATTCTCGGTCACACCAAAATAGTCCCTTTTGAAATTAAACCCGAAGATGGGGTACCGTAGGCGTTATAACACTGACCCGTTATGACACTGACCAGTTATGACACTGACCCGTTATGACACTGACCCGGTAAAACTTTGAGACGACTCCTGCGACGGGACGGGAAATGCATAAAGAGCACAGTAAAACGAAGGAGACAAACTGCTCGTGTAGTGCATGCTACAGTCGTCTTGACTAAGTTTATTCGATAGAACAGAGTGGGGCTGAAGAATTGTGTGACTCCTCGTCACTTTGAACAAAATATACAGCTCAGGTCAAGGCTTGGTTTATCTTCACACGCGCGAAGGACCAAACAATGATAATAATAATGTGTGAATAGCAACAATTATGTGTGTGAATAGCAACAATAATGTGTGTGAATAGCAACAATAATGTGTGTGAATAGCAACAATAATGTGTGTGAAAAGCAGCAATAATGTGTGTGAATAGCAACAATAATGTGTGTGAATAGCAACAATAATGTGTGTGAATAGCGTGATTCTTAAACGATTAAATATTTAATAATACGTCTTGCCATTCTTTGCTAAACAGCCGAGGTAAACTTGCTCAATATCACTTACATCTTCATACAATGCCGGATTGTCCTGGGTGATCAGGGTTAGGCTCACTTGGATTGCCATATTATTCAACGGGTTCCGTTTCTGACACTCTCCATAGATTTTCGTTACACTGACAAGCTTTTCATTGCAGCAGCTCCTTGGGACGTAGTCTTTATCTGGAGAACACCAAGAACACTAAATTAATAGCCCGTGACTTCAGGTTAACTATTCGAAAGTTTAAAATTAATGAGCTTGACACATTTAAAAATTCAACTCATGTAAAAATATTTAAGGGATATTAATTAATAACAATTTTACAAATAAGATAGTTATAACTTACATTTCCTAACAGCAACGCATAAGTCATGAATAATTTGATGATAACCTAAAAATTTAACTCGAAAATCGAAAAAAAATATTTTGAAGCTGTAACTGTGTCAGGCCTAACAAGACAAGGTCATGGAATATACAATCGCTCAAGTTACCAACACATGGGGTAGAAAACGGATGACGTTTGAGGGATGACGGCGTGGACGCGGCAAAGGCAAAGTGAGATGGAATAACTTAAGTATCAACTTGGAGTGTTTGCAGTCTGAGAGACCAATGACCCGAAATCGTTGAGTTTGCATTGCAAGCTCACCATGGCAACACATCTGGTTTCAGGGCCAGTGGAAGACCACGCCTCCAGTGGGTTCAGTGTGTTATAGGACATCCTAAATATCCACAACATGAACCTCCAGCAGACCTCACACCTTGCGTCAACCTGAAAACTGTACTTCCCCCCGCAACGTCTCCTCGTAACAGCAGGCAGAAGGAGAAGACATAAAATGTATTCACTAGATGAAATATTTTAAAGCAAGCGCCGCGTGCAGTAGAGCTATCCAAGGGAAGGGTTGAGACTTGCATTCACCAACCAGAAAAAGAAACAAGACACTGAATACAAGACAGATACATGTCTTTTGATTTTAATATGCTGCTCCTTTATCAGATAAAAAAAATTGACTTCTCAGAAAAGAACATTACATGATATCATCGTTCTTTAAAACACAATCATGGGAAACTGTTCAAGAACGGCCCATTGTTTCACTTACCTGTGCCGTTCTGATTCAGGAAAAATTTGCTGGACTGGTACAAGTACCAAGACTTCTCTGATGTTCTGTTACCGCTCACACCACAACAATAAAGCTGTTTGAGAACATGATTGTATTGAGGTCTTTGAAAACAATGAACGAAAAATGAAAGTAGTAATGAGAGCAAAACAGTGAAACATTTTTTAATGAAAACAAAGAAACACATTTTTAAAAATTTTAAAATTAAAATAAACAGATAATAAAATGCAGTTTTTTTTTATAAAATGAAATATGGTAAAGTTTCGTCTACATTCAATTCGAATTCATTTGGCTTCATAGAGTTCATGGAGTGCTCATCTACATTTCCGTACAGTCTTTCTTTGGTTTCATAGAGTGCTGATCTATACTTCTCTACAATCTTTCTTTGGCTTCATATCATAGAGTGCTCATCTACACTTCTGTACAGTATTTCTTTATGTAGTGCATTAAAAAAAAAATTAAACTTTCTTTGATAGAAAGTCTTGTTTTAAAACTTATTTTTCTTTTTGTTTTATTATGTTGTGTTTGTTGTTTATCACCTCTGTTTTCCACATGTACAACGTACATATTTTACTTTATATATGTATTTTCTCCACTATTTCTACTCCAACTCGTTCAAAGCTGTGGGTAGCATTGCTTACCTCTTTCTGGATTTTATCCCAGACATCCGTGGTTAACTTGTTTTTGTCGTCTGAGTTGTAGTTGACTTGGTAATTGTTTTTTAAGGTATCCTCCATCTGTTTAGCGACTTCTTGTTTCAGCTAGGAGGAAAATTGGATGAATATATGTTTACTTTTGGTTGATAAAAAATGATCAATTTTGATTGGATAAATAAATGTTTAATTTTAATTGGATAAATAAATGTTTAATTTTGAAATGTATAAACACATGTTTAATTTTTATTGGATAAATAAATGCTTAATTTTGATTGGATAAATAATTATTTTTAAATTTTAATTGGATAAATAAATGTTTAATTTTGAAATGGATTAAATAAATGTTTAATTTTGATTGGATCAATGCATGTTTAATTTTAATTGGATTATTGTATATTTAAAATTGAGTGCAAAGAATAAATGTATAGCTATGATTGAACAGTGATTTGTTACGCAGTGTTTAGGGTTTGATCACGAATCAACGAGTTATTACAAAAGAATTTAATTATATGTAAAAAAAAACAGGTTAATAAACATCAACAACATGAAAGATACGCTAAATACAATTGATGTTTCTAACAATGGAGAGAGAAAAATGACGACATTACACGCTGACAGGGTCTCCCTGCTTAAAAGGACATTTTTTGCCATACTTATGGAAGGTCTGGTTGACCTGGTAATTGCGTCAATTATTTAGAATTACTCGCAGGTAAATTCAACTTCTGATCCACAGTACTTTCTGACTCCCATCCACAGTACTTTCAAACTCCCACCAACAGTACTTTCAGATTCCCATCCACAGTACTTTCAGATTCCCATCCACAGTACCTTCAGACTCCCACCCACAGTACTTTCAGATTCCCATCCACAGTACTTTCAGATTCCCATCCACAGTACTTTCAGTTTCCCATCGACAGTACTTTCAGATTCCCATCCACAGTACTTTCAGATTCCATCCACAGTACTTTCTAATTCCCACCCACAGTACCTTCAGACTCCCATCCACAGTACCTTCAGACTCCCACCCACAGTACCTTCAGATTCCCACCCACAGTACTTTCAGACTCCCATCTACAGTACCTTCAGATTCCCATCCACAGTACTTTCAGATTCCCATCCACAGTACTTTCAGATTCCCATTCACAGTACTTTCAGACTCCCACCCACAGTACTTTCAGATTCCCACCCACAGTACTTTCAGATTCCCACCCACAGTACTTTCAGATTCCCATCCCCAGTACTTTCAGATTCCCACCCACAGTACTTTCAGATTCCCATCGCCAGTACCTTCAGACTCCCACCCACAGTACTTTCAGATTCCCACCCACAGTACTTTCAGATTCCCACCCACAGTACTTTCAGATTCCCACCTACAGTACTTTCAGATTCCCATCCACAGTACGTTCAGATTCCCACCCACAGTACTTTCAGATTCCCACCAACAGTACTTTCAGACTCCCACCCACACTACTTTCAGATACCCACCCACAATACTTTCAAAGTACCTTCAGATTCCCATCGCCAGTACCTTCAGACTCCCACCCACAGTACTTTCAGATTCCCACCCACAGTACCTTCAGATTCCCACCCACAGTACTTTCAGATTCCCACCTACAGTACTTTCAGATTCCCATCCACAGTACGTTCAGATTCCCACCCACAGTACTTTCAGATTCCCACCAACAGTACTTTCAGATTCCCACCCACAGTACGTTCAGATTCCCACCCACAGTACTTTCAGATTCCCACCCACAGTACTTTCAGATTCCCATCCACAGTACGTTCAGACTCCCATCCACAGAACCGGTTCCAAAACAGCTTGTATAAACACCAGCATGTCCATAGTTAGCTAGACTTCAATCTATGGTGCTTGTTCAAAATAGCATTTTTGGACACACACGCCCATATTATAAGCTCTACCTGCCGAGATCCTTACCGTGTCTCTGTAGAAGAATCCCAGAGTTGAACCCACAACAAACAGGATGAGAATCAGCAGCATGATGACGAAGTACTGGTGAGGTGAGTAAAGTAAAAATATATATATATTTTAATGGATATCAAAGTCGTTGGCCTTTTGAATGTGATGATACTGTACACAGCAATTTAAGATAACGAGAGTTTTCAGGATTACTAATCCCAGCCCATCTATATATGACACATATTAAGTCTGTTTAAATTATACATTTTAACTGAATCTGAAATGGACGCTTAGAATTGAAAATTAATTGACTCCACAGTACGCCATCCGCAAAAAGGTATAGCTGTTCAATAATAAATAATTTAGGGAGGAGTCTTGAACAGAGGGAAACAGATCTGTTTATGGGTCGAGATATTTTCAAATTAGTTTATAGCTTGAATCTCGTCCCCCACCCCACCCCACCCCCCACTATAATACTGGTTTCAAATACATTCTTTTAAAATTAGATTTAAAGACGGATTACCGAATAAATCTTTAAAAATTTTCAAATAATCTATAAATATCACCTCCCGTAACTAACATAGCCGTTATGATGAAGCATTTTTATTAGGAAATGAATAGACCTGCAAATGGCCAACTTATCACAATAAATACAGCCAACCAAAAAATATCAACTTGTTCTAAAATACGCAGTTCAGTAGACTGGAACGTGTACTTTTTTAAAGTATTTTAGTAAATTTTATTTAATTTTTATTGCTACATTTTCCAGTAATACTCACAATGCCCAACAGTCCTACTTACAATGCCCAACAGTCCTACTTACAATGCCCAACAGTCATACTTACAATGCCCAACAGTCCTACTTTCAATGCCCAACAGTTACACTCACAATGCCAAACAGTCACATGCACAATGACCAACAGTCACACTCACAATGCCCAACAGTCATACTTACAATGCCCAACAGTCCTTACAATGCCCAACAGTCCTACTTACAATGCCCAACAGTCCTACTTACAATGCCCAACAGTCCTACTTACAATGCCCAACAGTCCTACTTTCAATGCCCAACAGTCACACTCACAATGCCCAACAGTCACATGCACAATGACCAACAGTCACACTCACAATGCCCAACAGTCATACTTACAATGCCCAACAGTGACACGCACAATGCCAAACAGTCACACGCACAATGACCAACAGTCACACGCACGATGCCCAACAGTCATACCTACAATGCCCAGCAGTCCTTACAATGCCCAACAGTCCTACTTACAATGCCCAACAGTCCTACTTACAATGCCCAACAGTCCTACTTACAATGCCCAACAGTCCTACTTTCAATGCCCAACAGTTACACTCACAATGCCAAACAGTCACATGCACAATGACCAACAGTCACATTCACAATGCCCAACAGTCATACTTACAATGCCCAACAGTCCTAATTAGAATGCCCAACAGTCACACTCACAATGCCCAACAGTCATACTTACAATGCCCAATAGTCATACTTACAATGCCCAATAGTCATACTTACAATGCCCAATAGTCATACTTACAATGCCCAATAGTCATACTTAAAATGCCCAACAGCCAAACTTACAATGCCCAACAGAACTCTGTTTTCAAGGAAAGCTCCCAGACAGCCGCAAAGGGCGAGAAGGCAGATAATAGATCCACCGACAATTATCACGATGCAGCCCCCTTGGTACAGCTCACTTCCTGTGATCGCCTTCATCTCTTTGGCGCCATACTCTGACGCGAGGGACCAGGCACCTAGACCTATGGCAATAGCACCAGCGCACTGTGGAAATAAAAAAAGTAAGTGCTTTTTAACACATTGAATTTTGTATCAATAGGTGTTTAGAGCGAGAGTGTGGTGTTTTTGGGTAGGAGCAGAGCCGTTGCATGACCTTTGAGACAACCTTCCAAGTTTCGGTTTTGTGACCCCCCCCCCCCCCCACCCCCCCCCCCCCCCCGTTGAGAGTTAAATAACTTTTTCAAACTCATAACTGAGGGCCCTTAAACATCCGAGACCACCTGAAGCCGCAGAGGTTTCATGGCTAACATGAAGGAATTTAGTAGGATAGAGTATTGTTTGGGACAGTAGAGTAGTGTTTGGGACAGGAGAGTAGTGTTTGGGATAGGAGAGTAGTGTTTGGGACAGGAGAGTAGTGGTATGTGTAAAATATTCTTTTTTTTTTTTTTTTTTTTTTGGTTTGGAGAGTAATATTTTTTGTAGGAAAAGTAGTGTCTTAGACTGATGTGGAAAGAATTTGAAATTATTTACATTGAACATTTTTTTGGTCATTTAACGCCAATTTCTTTCTTTCTTCTAGGATAGGAGAGTAGTGTTTGGGACAGGAGAGTAGTGGTATGTGTAAAATATTCTTTTTTTTTTTTTTTTTTTTTTTGGTTTGGAGAGTAATATTTTTTGTAGGAAAAGTAGTGTCTTAGACTGATGTGGAAAGAATTTGAAATTATTTACATTGAACATTTTGTTGGTCATTTAACGCCAATTTCTATCTTTCTACTCGGTAAATTATATTGTATTCAACATAATGTAGTATTTGTGTACCTAAGTACTCTGTTATTTGTCGAAGACTTTTCAGCTCTAACAACCTCTAGCTTTCAAATAGGTTAATTGTTAAGAATTCATTGCATCTCTTATGTAGGTCCACATTTAATAAAAGTCATTATATTAAACTGTGTTTCATAAGCGGTGACTTCTGACAGACGTCACAGCAATAAGTAAGCTTTTAGTATGTAAGACGTGTCTGTGACATTCATATGCCATGTATATGCCAAATTTACATGACATGTATATGACACGTGTATATAACATGTATATGACACGTGTATATGACATGTATATATGACATGTATATATGACAGAAAGAGAAAATGTCAAAGCTAGACTCACCAACACAAGGAAGTTGAGGATGACCAGGACATATTTCATAAAACGGTGACAGCAGCCGTAGACAGCCATTTTGCTGGGATGTGGAGGTCACTCAACGGGGAATGATCTGCGAATAGAAATCAACTTTTTTATTTTTCAACATGAAGAAACAAGTGTGTATGTAGAAATAAAGAATTGTCTTCTTTTTCATATCATTTTATTTTCGAGCACAAAACGTTACACAACTATTCAATATGTGCCCTATGTCGGAATGCGCTCATTGCCAGGTGTCGAAGAAATCGAAGAACGTTTCGAGGACGTCTCTGCAGCTTGATTTGTTTTTCATGGTCATGTTACTAAACTTGTGAGCGGCAAGGTATCCACGAAAGGCCAATAACTGGCGATCGTCCCACAAAATGACAGCTGAAGCAACACCAACCGCGATGTAACGTGCACCAATGATGCGGTTGATTTGACTCAAGGATTTTATTTTCAGATCAAAAAACACCAAAAAATATGACCATAGATAAATACTTCTTTCTACGTTTGGAATAAAGCGGTAAATGTTGGAAATATGGCATCAAGATCTAATGGACGCGCAATACACACTTGTAGAAATGACACCAACATGTTTTCCCCGTATAGAACCCCCCCCCCCCCCCACACACACACAAAACAAAAAACAACAACATTGAAATTATATGAAGAATGACTTTCAGATTTCTACGACGTTCAAGTACAAGAAAATTTACATTCAGCTCGTATTCAAGAAACTATTGAATGATAACACGTTTTTCTTCTTCTTTTGTTTTTTTCTAGACATCAGCCTCACATAAATATATAGGCCTACCACATACATTCTTTTGTTGTTGTTGTTGCTGCTGAAAAAATAGCACCGCCTTAAAATTAACAACATCCAGATCCACTCGACAGTGAACATCCAATAAAAACAAAGCGAGATGCCATCTTATGGTATCACTGGCTCAGAATCACAGATTACACCTGCTGTTTATAACTGTAGTCAAACATTCACGAAATACCTTTATACCTGACTTAAACCAAGAGGTGTTGTTTACGTGAGGGGGTGTTTAATCCGGAGTCAAATGTAACTCTGCCTGGCCGTCGGGTGTTTATTGTAGATTTATACACACACACACACATACACACCCCTGAGCGTGGTCTCGTACCCCTGTGTCAAAGTGTTAAAATACATTCGCTACGCGTGAATGGGCCCACGAACATAGTGAAGGAGTTGGTCGCATGAGTCAGAAAGGAGTCAGGTTTCAGCAAATTGTCACGGGTGACCAACCCGCCAAAAGATTGTCTATTTTTAGGATAACAGGGTGAACGGTAGCCAATCAGAACAAGGGGCATCAAACTGCGTCATTAAGGGGAATCTTCCATTACACTACGTACTCTGGCTATTTTTAGAATAGAAAGGTTGTTTTTTTTTGTCAGGGGGGGGGGAGGGAGTGGGGAGTCATCCACACACAAAAAAAAATATTAGAAAATCCGGTTGTAGACACGACGTCTGGGAGTGTATGTGTGCTTGGTATAAGGGTACCGTGTGGGNAGGGGAATCTTCCATTACACTACGTACTCTGGCTATTTTTAGAATAGAAAGGTTGTTTTTTTTTGTCAGGGGGGGGGAGGGAGTGGGGAGTCATCCACACACAAAAAAAAATATTAGAAAATCCGGTTGTAGACACGACGTCTGGGAGTGTATGTGTGCTTGGTATAAGGGTACCGTGTGGGTGTGTCTTATGTGTGTCATTGCTTGAGTGTGTGTTTCTGGTAATGAGCGAAACAAAGTATGTGAAAACCTTTTTTTTTTTTTTAAAGGACACAACAAAACAATGAACGTGTCGGCAAGAAGCCTTCTTCAGCGAACAAACCACATAAAATATTTTTAAAAAAAATAACCACTCAACTACAGTGTAGTATCCGAGATGGCAGCAATAGGTATCTGGAATGAGTTCTTCTGCCTAATGTGTGCTGTTGTTTGTATGATGTGTGTTTCAGCCTGTGTGTAACTATGGACCATTGAGTGTCTGTGCTGGTAAATAAATTCCTTAGTATATAACCGTAGGGAAAAAAATATAACTATTTTCTGGTGACTAAACCAATATATATTTAGAGCACCCTCAGTGACATGATATAACTGAGTTCAGTTCATTTTGCCACACCTTCATTTCGAGTTGTTTCATTGAAGGCCAAGATTTGAAAGATTGGAACTACTTGCAGGGCGCGCCTACAAGGATACGTAGAGGGATATCAACTGTGGTCAAAATGGTTGGTTAGCGCTGCCGGCGTAGACTCTCCAGTCCCTGTTAGACTCTCCAGTCCCTGTTAGACTCTCCAGTCCCTGTTAGACTCTCCAGTCCCTGTTAGAATCTCCAGTCCCAGTTAGACTCTCCAGTCCCAGGTAGACTCTCCAGTCCCAGGTAGACTCTCCAGTCCCAGTTAGTTAGACTCTCCAGTTCCAGTTAGTTAGACTCTCCAGTTCCAGTTAGTTAGACTCTCCAGTTCCAGTTAGTTAGACTCTCCAGTCCCAGTTAGTTAGACTCTCAAGTCCCAGTTAGTTAGACTCTCAAGTCCCAGTTAGTTAGACTCTCCAGTCCCAGTTAGACTCTCCAGTGCCAGTTAGTTAGACTCTCAAGTCCCAGTTAGTTAGACTCTCAAGTCCCAGTTAGACTCTCCAGTCCCAGTTAGTTAGACTCTCCAGTCCCAGTTAGTTAGACTCTCCAGTCCCAGTTAGTTAGACTCTCCAGTCCCAGTTAGTTAGACTCTCCAGTCCCAGTTAGTTAGACTCTCCAGTCCCAGTTAGTTAGACTCTCCAGTCCCAGTTAGTTATACTCTCCAGTCCCAGTTAGACTCTCCAGTTCCAGTTAGACTCTCCAGTTCCAGTTAGACTCTCCTGTCCCAGTTAGTTAGACTCTCCAGTCCCAGTTAGTTAGACTCCCCAGTCCCAGTTAGACTCTCCAGTCCCAATTAGTTAGACTCTCCAGTCCCAGTTAGTTAGACTCTCCAGTCCCAATTAGACTCTCCAGTCCCAATTAGACTCTCCAGTCCCAATTAGACTCTCCAGTCCCAGTTAGTTAGACTCTCCAGTCCCAGTTAGTTAGACTCTCCAGTCCCAGTTAGTTAGACTCTCCAGTCCCAGTTAGACTCTCCAGTACCAGTTAGTTAGACTCTCCAGTACCAGTTAGTTAGACTTTCCAGTCCCAGTTAGTTAGACTTTCCAGTCCCAGTTAGACTCTCCAGTCCCAGTTAGACTCTCCAGTCCCAGTTAGTTAGACTCTCCAGTCCCAGTTAGACTCTCCAGTCCCAGTTAGACTCTCCAGTCCCAATTAGACTCTCCAGTCCCAGTTAGACTCTCCAGTCCCAGTTAGTTAGACTCTCCAGTCCCAGTTAGTTAGACTCTCCAGTCCCAGTTAGTTATACTCTCGAGTCCCAGTTAAGACTCTCCAGTCCCAGTTAGTTAGACTCTCCAGTCCCAGCTAAGACTCTCCAGTCCCAATTAGACTCTCCGGTCCCAGCCCATGGACACAGAAAGAGGATTTAACAAAAACTAATTTCTACATTTCATAAATTATAGAATCTAAAAAAAAAAAAAAAAAAAAAAAAAATCATTTTGATTATTTTGTTTTAAGGGTGTGAGTGACAGTTGATTACAGATGATCCCCGTTGCATACGGCATGAATAATTTTTAAATATTTTTTAGGGGGAGGGGTTTGGGCGATTTGGGGGTAGGGAACGATAACACGTGATTTGTTTTGACTAAATTTTTAAAGTAATTTGAAATGCACTGAAAGATTGTTACGTCACTGGGTTGTTTTGTTTGAAACATTCAACTTATCACAGAGTTTAGCTGTTTTGTGTAACGTTACATGTAGCTCTAGACTCTTAGATAGTTATTTAGCCTTATTTCAAGAACATGTTGATTCAAAAAAATCATCAAATGATGTTATTGTGCTATATATATATATATATATATATATATATATATATATATATATATATATATATATATAT